TTTCATCCATATGGGTTGTATCATGTTGATGATAAGTATTATAGGATTTCAGGTGCATTTTCGTATATTGAAAAGCGTACGGTAATAATTATGCAATGATCTCAATAAAGTGATACATTTCCTTGCAGGCGATAACAAATATCTACGACCTGAATCGCCTTTCACAAAGTTGTCTTTATCTTAGTGTGTGTCTTATTGGAACATTTTTCGAGAACTGGCAAGGTCAGAAAGTCATAGATTCCAATGAAAAGTTGTACCATTCCATGTACGTTTAATAGAATACGTTTAATATATATCCAAAATCGCAAAAATTGTAGAATTGGTAAAACTGAGTCCCTGGCGCACAAATGTCGGATACATCTTATAACGTATGAAATAAAAATAATCTGTTACAGATATAACATGAAATGGTATGAAATGTCATGTGCGACGAAAAAGCTAGTAATTTTGATCATGCTAAGAAGCTTAAGACCGACGCAGATAACGGCCGGCAAGATTATCGTGATGTCATATGAGAATTTCAGTGCGGTGAGTGCTATTGTATTATGTGAAAGTGAAGCATGTACAAGCTTATTTTTTATTGTATAATTTTTGGTTTTAGGTAATACGAATGTCCTCGTCATATTTTATGCTGCTGCGATCTGTACAAACTACGTAAAACATTTTTAGAAAATTCACGATTATCGAATTTCACAGTTGGCTGAATTAGTAGAAAATAGATATCCACCAATCATTTGATTTGTACATTTAAGTGATTTTATGTACATTTTAGGAACTTCATACGTGAATAAATAAAACGTAAAAAAAATTTGTATAAATAATATTTGTCAATAATCTTTTGCAAATAATCTTTTACAGTTACGTTAGTTCTTGTCAAACGGAAAAATTCTTATAAAAATTTGATAATACTATAGGAATTCACTCTGGTAAAATCCAAATGAAGTTAACAATAAAGTTTATTATGATAATTATGTAAATGGCACAGGGGTGCCGCAAGTTCCGCACGCTACACAAACACACTATTCTCACTAGTGAGAACCAAAAGCGACCAAAAGTGATGTGTACTTCATTACTTAAATAATAGTTAAAATATATTGTCGATATTTATATAGAATAATTAAAGATAGGAACATATAATTTTTCCCAATAATCCTTGGCAAAACAAGTATAGAAAAATTTTAAGGATAATATCTAAAGAATAAAATGAAAGTAAAACTTTCGTAAAACGCGTATAAGTTATTTAAGGGAACGTAGATGAACGATCATGAATGCCTTGTGTATAAAACTGTTTCCTGTTTTAATTAATTAATTAGTTATGCGTTTTGCAAAATATCCTGTGATCACATAAATTGAGAAAAATGTAATTGGTATTTTTACAATTTTGGTTGGGTCTTGCAAGAACCATTAAATATCTTTATGTACGGCGGTAAGTGAAGCACCATTTTCAAAAGATATCACGGTACTACGTTTCCCCGCGTTGCAACCAGAAATAGACTATAGAAAGAAGGGAATTATCAGTAACAACCTTCTTTCACAGTAATTTGCAACTTAAATGATTTTTCAAGAGAGAAAAAAGGGAGTATATCATAGTACATGTCACAGTACATATCATTATGCGTGTCTCCAACATGTAATTTTCAACCTTTAATTGGAAACACAAAGCCCAGCTGCAACAGATACCGGCTGTCGTAATCGATCACGAACGACTTACTGACGTGAATGTAACAGTATAATAGCGCCTGTACTTCGCGACGTGCAGGGCAATCAACGTTGAAACGGAATTTTTCATCAGCAAATTTCACCGGCAGGACAGCGGTAGGCAAAGAGGCGAAATGGACAACGTCGATAAGTTCTTTCGAGAATCGCACTACAATATTGTGCGACTTTTATTGAGTTTAAGCGGTCTGTGGCCTTTCCAAAGCAAAGCCTTTCGTTACGCAATTTACTGCGGATTGTTATTACTGAACGGATCTGGCATTACGTTCCAGGTAAAGAGAGAAGACGCACCTTGTTATTACGCATATCATTTTGCATTTTGCATGTTCATCTCTACTGTTTAACGGAAAGTTCGGCAAATTGGCATTACAGTTAGGACTACAGCGCATAGAATGCAATAAAATTTGTTTTCTAAATTTCTTGAAGTGAAAAGTGATAATATTTTTTTACTCCACAAGAGTGAATGTTTCATTTAAGATCAGATTGAAGTCTGACTCCATATGAAAGAATGTTTCGATAGACTGGAGCGTGTACCTCCAAGGGTGGAATGTATCAGATTCATTTTCCAATTTCGATTGAAAATATTAACTCCAC